GAAAATTTGTTACAATCACCAATTAACAATATTTTATTACAAATGTTAATAGCTACGCTCTGTCTGTATGTGCGTGCGTGCGTGCGTGCGTGCGTGCGTGCGTGCGTGTGTATTCGTATTGGAGTAAATTTAAAAGAAAAACGTTTCTAAAATTACCTTTTGAATTTCTATTTTTAATATAATTCAATTGCATTGTTTTTGTAAATTTAAAAATCGACGAGGTAACGTTATTGGCTCTTCGTATAAAAATGATATCGATTAAATATAAATTGCATTAATCGTGTCACTATAAATAATTGTCTAAAATTTTAGCAATAAATGATAATTCTCCTGCATCGCGAAATTATTAATGTAATCTCATTGAGGGGCATTGAAGAAGAGTATTGGCAATTAGCAGCTTATGAACAAAATTAAACATAATGTGCCGAACATTTTAAAGGAAGTTTAATCAACAAATATATTTAATAATATAGTCAAAGTGTCGAACGAGTGTCAAAATAATAAAATATAACGATTACGTAGAATTTTCAAGCGCACTATTTTTCATTCAACACATATTTATGTTAGATATGAAATAAAAATATTTCTTCTAATCAAAAAGTTAAATATTTGATGAGAATTACATCTAGTATAAATTATCTTACGATATATTTGTTCAAAGAATTACAAAGATAATCTTTTGATTTTGTATTTTAGCCGTATAGATATGAATCAATACTTAATTTTCTTACTCTTATACACATAAATACATGGATTTAAATATTAACAAAGTTAAGTAATATTTTTTATATTTAAGGCCGATTCTAAATAAAATTGTCCCAGTTGTTATAAATAATAATTACAGTCACTTGTCATAATACAATTTCCAATAAAATCTTATCCGATTTTATCATATTCAACAATTATATTGTCTGTGATTAACAATTTATATATATATATATATATATTTTTTTTTTAAAGAGATTTACATCACTTGTATTTAAAGAATAATTTATCCTTTTATTCATTACATTTATATAAGTCGATTTAATGAACAAAGAAATCCCGTTAAATTTGTCGATGTAAGCGACACACTTAGTTATCATGCATATGCTATGATCGATATATAAAATTTTTCTTCATATATTATATAGGCATATATGCATATATGCACATATATATGATGTAGTAATATGTTAAAATTTTATCCGGATGAAAGTAAGAAAGAAGAAAAAAGTAAAAATACTTTGATCTGTAACAATTGCAAACATTTTCGATATAAATGCCGAAGTGCTATTGTAGTTGGCTTCTTAGCCTTACTGCCAATAATAATATTTTATCTTGCAAATTCAAGGAAATCACCGACAATTGTAATCCTTTGCCAAAAATCTGTTCGTTCAGATAAAGAAATTTGCTCTTCTGTAATCTTATGAACCCATTGTTTATCTTAGAGTGTGCTTGCTTTGTCCATTAATAGGTATTCGTTGCTTGTTTTATGCCGGTTTATTCGTCCACACTACATTTTTGAATTCCTTCTAAAAAACCTAATACGCATCGAATTAAATGGAGCCCGACCAAATGAAAGAGAGAGAGAGAGAGAGAGAGAGAGACAGACAGACAGACAGACAGACAGACAGACAGACAGAGAATTAATTATCGTAAAATTATAAAAATAAAGCAGAATAAATATTTAAATGATTAGATAATTTTCGAATATTTATATCATTAAGAATTCGCAATGTCATAAATAATGGGAATAGAAACGTTTCCATTTAGTTAATATCATGTATAGAGAATTTGAGTTGAGAGATTGTTTAATTGAGAACAAAATTAGTTACAAAGACGGAATGAAGATGATGATGAGGAGAAGGAGGATGAGGAGGAGGAGGAGGAGGGAGCGTGATAAAGTATATTATTGTCGTATATACTGAAGATTAGCGGAATATCTCAAGCCAAGGCAATTCAGAGTTTGGGCTAAACTTGAAATTAACAGGATAAAGTTTTACCAGTAGCAGAACAATTGCAGTATGCGAGTATAATTAGTAGACGACGTTGGTTTGTCGCGAATCGTATCTCGTGTCAGCCCTTGGATGACGTAGATCGATAGTCGAGTGCGTAAGGAAGAGACATTATAGTTTAATTGATGCTATATAACTTTAGAATAATCTCCCCATAGGTAAGAGATGACCGAGAATAAAATGACTTTATTGAATATTCAATGCCAAACACGGTTTCCCATTATGTCTGGTTGGTTTCATTTTAATCTTCTCGTTTGGTAATTTATTTAATATTAATGTAGAATTGCATGTAAGGTAGTTTAAAGTATACGGAAATATCATGTGTCCTCGTTGTCTGGGTTATTAATGAAGGAAACGTCGAGAATTATCGACATCGTGCGTCAGGTGGAATGAAAAATACTGGATTACATAGATGGATGTATTATTTTACGATGCCTTGCCAATGCTCCGAGTATTAGCTAATGTAATAGCCTAAGTGTTGTAAGTAACATATGGAGAAAGGGATACAAGTAAACAACAGTACTTGGACTTCAAATTCAATGTGTTTTGGTAAGGGAGAGTAATGCGATAGAGAAGAGTATAACGGTTAAATAAATAAATCCTCTCTTCCTTTTTTGCCTTCTTAATGTAATTCAACAATTTTTTTTTCTTCTTTTTTTTTGGCTTTCAAATTTATATAACTTTTTAATAATATTAAATTTTCTTTTAAGTTTTATTTTTAAAAAATCTTCTCTTGTAACATCTATGCCAAGATTATGAATTATATATAATATTTTTTAAAATAAAATAATTCCTCGACATTATCAATTTTTACTAGTGTTTTAAATAAATCGCCAGCAGTTCAAGCAGACATTGGCTATTTAAATATGTGTCACTTAATTAATCATACATTAAAGTAATTCTAATATAATTAACTTAAATTATGTGTCCCTTATAATGGAATGCAATACTTTGCATCTGACAGATACTAGACAAAGCATCCGTAGAAGCATTTTCCAAGAAGTGCAAGATGCACCAGTAGAGAGGACAGATAAGGGAGGTTATAAAAGGGCTAAGGTAACAATAGCAGGAGCTCTTGCTTTCTTATATCGTCACGCGTCGCTGTAGTCAGCTATTGTGGATAATTTCTATTCTGATATTATAATAAAGAAATTTACTTACCCAATTGTATTATTATTTACGGATCCTTAATTATATCGAACGTAACTTCATCTTGCTTTAAGCATTTTACGACTCATTAAATGTATTATAATAGACAAAAAAATTTTGTTTTCCTCAAGGTAGCATTTTCAACGTGAAACGTGAATTTTCAACAAATACACTACTTTCGTACTCTCGTCTCACATATGTTCGTGAAAATTATTTTCACTGCTTTTTCGATTATTTCGATTATTTCTCATAGCTATCAGCTAATGGCTTCAATCAATTTTCATAATTTTTTGATTTTTTATTTCAAGTAATATTTATAAATCTTTACAATTAAATAAATAAATATATATATATATATATATATATATATATATATATATAGGTATGAACAATTTTTTTTTCTTTTTTTTTTTTTTGGAACATGAAATTTGAATGTATAGAGAACAAAAAATTAGATTGAAAGTAGGATTACTTTTTTTTCGTTTTTCCGTTGTACTCTGTATAACATTCATTCTTTATTCATTTAATTTTATTATTTTAGGCGGATACTTTATAAGAACTCGGTGTATTTTCTTCACTTTTTCCATCCAATGGAATATAACTGTATTGCTATTTTAAATAATTAATAAATGAATTTGAAAGAGATATTCACTGTTCTATTCATTTAGATGGAAACATTTTTTTTCTCGTGTGTGCTTGCACAATGAGTAGATCGAAAAAAAGTTTCTATAATAAATGCACGAACATTATTATGAAATTTCAAAGCTTTTTTTATTTTGGAATTTCATTGGCAATTATTTCATTTTGAATACAGTGAATCGTTACGAGAATTTACTTTTGCAATAATATTAGTAAATACTTTATTTTCGCACCAAGCGCGATACCAAATTCATTGCAAGATAAGATAATAATAATATTTATAATGATGTTGATGATGATGATGATGATGATGATGATGATGATGATGATGACGACGACGACGTAGATGACGACGACAACGACGACGACGATCACGACGAAGACCAAGCTGATGACAAAGATTTATACCAAGTTATTTTAATAAATTTACCTTTTTTCTTGAACTAATAAATCAACATTATCGATTGTTTCACGGTCTTCTTAGTTCTTGTAGCTATCTGTCTTCCTATTTTTATTACGAAGAATATATTATTCAGCAATTGTTTATTTAAATTTGAGATATTTTAATGGCAAATTTCCTGTTAAAAATAAACTTGGATTTTATTAATAATATTTCTTTCATATTAACAAGGAAGTTCTTATATTTCTTTTATTGAGATTGTACATGAGGTTGAAGAAAGGCAGAGATTGTGGAACAATCGAGAAAGTCCATGATACAAGGCTATATTTCTCTATCTTTCTTAAGACATTATATTAATCCATTTAAGCAGAACGAATGTGATAATTAATGTCTTAAAATGTGTGTGTAGAACGGTGTAACAATAAAATGATACGCTCTTTCAGCGTATAACATAATATAATGAAAAATGTAATTGAATGGCTATCGATAATCTATTAGAAGACGTGAATTAGCATTTAAATATTTAAAATTGCTAATTGCAATGACAAATCAAAACTTAGTGAAAATTTTAATCAGGCACTGAATACCTCCAAGATCTTTAGACAGGAATTTACGTTGCTAAGCCATAAAAAATGCGATTAAACATCATATGATCGAATAATGGTCCTTTAATAATAGTGAAGATGTTCCTGCGATGCCATCATTCCTTATGATCGACAAATCGAGCGAGCCAGAGAAATATGTGCGCGAGAATTGTTTTTATTATTACTATGCAATTACTATGGAGTGCTGAGCATAATAATCTTTTGTTACAGTTGACTGGATTTCTTCAGCAGCCAGTGCCATACAGCAGCATGACGGAAGTATACGCTGTGGCGAGATGGGATCCGACTTATAAATACTGCCTAAGGATCGTTTTGCCCGATGGATCGCTATTGCTGCAAGCTAGCAACGCCTATACGAGAGATCAATGGTATCACTCTATATTGTGGAAGGTGAGACTCCCCGCTGTTATGGTAAGATTGGAATTAGCGTGGTCGAGGCTTGTTGGGCTCTAAGCGCCAAGCGCTACCACTTTTTAATTACAAAGTGATTTACAAGCCGGTTGAGACCTATCGTCGATATGATTTTGTCAAGGGCGCCCCTAATGCCTCAAAGTAATGTCGGGCTCCCGTGAAGAAGGATGTGCTCGTGAAACCGAGGGAACTAAGAGCATTGGATTGTTTGAAAAATTGCCCGGAAGCCGGCTAGCTGATCCGGCATTAATAAATTTGTCGAGAGCGCGAAACATCACGTGATAAAGCTCGTGAAAAACTTGTCGGCATTACGAGACTCTTACGAAACGGATGAAAGATTGATAATCGAAGCGGGCCGGGCATCGGTCGGGTAACGATCATTCCCCGTCCCGACTCCACGCACTCGCACACGAGGCTTTGGCCAGTCGATTATGTGGGGCGTGGGGCGTGGGGCGTGGGGCGTGGGGCGAGGAACGAGGAACGAGGCTCGAGGAGAGCCCTTATACAGCGATATCATTAAACATGTCATCGGCGTGTCGGGTGAAATTTATATTCACCGCGTGCCAGCACGAGTATCATGCGCCCCGAGGCAGAGCCGAGCTATGACGTACTAGTATAAAGTAAAATAAACGAGTTGGCGGAGGGCGAGGGCGAGAGCGGCGGCGGTGGGGCGGGCGGCGAGGGGGATGGCGGGCCGGGGTGTGCGTGTGGCGGTGGGAGGGAGAGGTCGGCGTGGTCGTGTCGGTGTCAATCTGTTAAGAAGGGGTCACGAAGGCGTCACGATGAATTCCCCTATCGGCCGCTAAAACACGCTCGATCTCTCGACACGGTGAAGTACGTCATAGGACCCGGAACCGTATTTCCATGGAAAATGCCCGGCGCATTAACCGACATGCTTGCTTGATATGCGCGGCGGTGGCTGCCACTTTGCCACGGGCGAACTGATTTCTCCGCAACTCCGATCGTATATTCTAGCTTCCGCTTTCATTGAACGGCCGCTTTTGTATTCTTGTAGAAGAGTATTTTCAAATATCAACATCTGGTCTCAATGGCAACGAAGGAGGAGGTCGTGCTGCGCGAACTCAAGGCCCTCGTTGATTTCGCTCTCTGGACACCTCTTCAGGTATGGTATATGAACTGAAATTGTCGTGAACTCGCACGCGTGATGAGCCACGTGGGGGAAGAGGGGCGAAAGAGGATGGATTAAAGCGAGGGAAGGAAAAATGCAGAAGGGATAAAATTTCCTTTAAACTTAACTTAACATGCATTCGAGCGATAGCGTTGATGGATTGGCAGATCGCGAATTCATTATATTAACAGAAGAAGAAGATGAAGGAATGAAATAATGAAAGAAAGAAAGAAAGAAAGAAAGAAAGAAAGAATGAATGAATGAATGAATGAATGAATGAATGAATTAACGAATTAATTAATGAATTAATTAATGAATGAATGAAAGAAAGAAAGAAAGAAAGAAAGAAAGAATGAATGAATGAATGAATGAATGAATGAATGAATTAACGAATTAATTAATGAATTAATTAATGAATGAATGAAAGAAAGAAAGAAAGAAAGAAAGAAAGACAGACAGTCAGACAGACAGACAGACAGACAGAATGAGAGAAAGAATGAAAAGAAGAAAAAAAACAGATAGAAAGAAAAATACCTTTGGCATAAAAGGTATGCTCGCGCGCAAACACTTTGGTTAAAAATACACGTGTTTTCATTAAATGAAACCATCCGTCAACCGAGCACCTGCAGTCGGCCGTTAATAGCATTTGAGCGAAAAGCGGCCGTAATTGTCGAATGAAAAGTTGTTTCGCAATAATATTGAAATTATTTTTAACCAAGAGGAAGCTGTGGGTTGCGGGAACGGGGTTCGGTGAAAGGTGGGGTAGGGAGGTAGGATCTCGAAGGCGAGGATACAAAGTGCCGCTCACGAGTTTTAAGTGCTAAATAAGGGCTTTAACTAATCGTGGGTAACCTGAGTTTAGGACGAAAGGGTGGCGGGAGCGCCTCTCGAGGCCGTGGCGAAGCTGCTCGAGGAGCCAATCGCCACGGAAAAGTCCGAGGACGAGAGCAACGGTCGGCTCGAGGACTCGTCGCCGGACGAGGAGGACTCGAGTGAACAGGAAGCTCGTAGCTGGGCCGAGGCCGTCCTGAACGTGGCGGCGCCACTCTTGGAACGGGCCGCTCCCCCACCGGCCCTGGCCCGCGGACTCGCCCGGCTGGCCCAGCGACATCCCCGCTCGCCCCTCGTTCTGGGATTGAGGCCCGCCGTAACTCGCTGCCTCAAGCACACCGTGGACTTCGGCAAGTCCCCGGACATGCGTAAGCTCCTCCAGGTGTTCATCGCCGCCCTTTACGAGAACGTCGACGGAGAGCTTACCATCAGGGACTACGTGGCATCGGTACACGGTCCAGGAAGCGACTGCCCCCACCCGAGGATCCTGCCCAATTTGGTCTCCATTTGCGTCGCCGCCATATTCCACAGGTGACGAAGGCCCGACCACTCGCCTCGTGTCGAATCCTCATCCCCTCCTATTCGCCGGCGCACTCAATTTTCTTCATCGTTCGCATAATTAATTTGGTAAATTATCGGGGCGCAGTCGAGCTACACTGGCCACGTTTCTGAATTATTATTCTCAAGGTCGTGGCGTAATTAATAAACTCGCTTTCGCCATTAGCCGACTTCCCGGTGGAGTGTCCACATTCCCGAGATGCGCAGCAAACGTCGGCTTTGTGCGTAAACGAGCTGCTTTCGTAAATTATGAGTCACGATATTTTGGCCAACGGTGACGATTTTCTCTTTATCCATTTACAACTTTCGCATGTTCATTAAAAGGTGAAACTTGAATTTTTTGTCATCGACCAGTTACTTGCTAATTTGCTCGCGCTCCACCTCCATCCAATCAACCAATTAGTCCACACTTGTCACCAATGCTTCACCCTCTATCCTCCACCAGTGCATACATTTTTCTTTTCGCAACCCCTAAAATTATTCCGTTTAGCGACATAAGCGACATTTTTTACGATAGTCCTTTTTGTTTTAGATTCGAAGTAAGCGCGTGCAAGCAGCAACGCGAGCAGCAACAGGAGCAACAACAGGAGCAACAACAGCAGCTGCATCAGCAATCACAGCAGCTCGAGGATGGCGCGTCTGCGTCACTACCACCCCTAAGATGCTATCTTCTAGTCCTGAATATCGCGTACGTAAATAAGATTTATATTATAAGGGTGTACTCCCAATATACGACTACACAGGCTAATTCTATCGACTTTATAAACGCACACGTTTATGCGTTTAATTTGCTGTAAATTTTGACGTATTTTATAAGCGTTTATGCAGCGTCAAAAATAACTTAACCGAGTTGTTCGATTGCAATTTAAATTGATCAAATGTCTCCCTTTTGTTGTTCATTTGTTCTGTCTTGTTTTGCTTTACTCCATTAGTAAATTATATAATTAACCTTAACATTATTACGGAGCAGTAATCAATGAAAAATTTTACATTTCATATTTAATAACTTACCTGTCTTAATATAACATCACCTTGCCAAAAATAACTGCAGTATCCATATTAGAAAACATGATATTTTAAATTTGGATCTTTACTCCAATGTACTTGTGTAGCTTGGACATTATAAAAGGAGAGATAGAGAGAGAGAGAGAGAGAGAGAGAGAGGGAGAGAGAGGGAGAGAGAGAGAGAGAGAGAGAGAGAGAAAAGGAATAACAAAACAATACAAATTCAACAAGTTCCAAATTCATATTTAATAAGTACATTAGTGTGATTTTTCAATTTTATTTTTTTCGTCGTTCGGGAAAGGTGTTCGCTCTTACATTTACATGAGTCGACTCACTCGTTTCTACACGCATGAAATATTATTATTGTTTTAAGGTATTGTTTATTGTAGTAAAGGTAATTATCATTTGCCGGTACTATTATGCTTAATGAATAATATTGTGAAAGGAAAAGATGTCCGGTTAAGTTCATAAGGAGTAAAATCACGTACTGTCCTCAATTTACAAATATTTTCCACTTCTCCATTGTATTCGTCAACGCGTGCGTGCTAAAACGGGCACGTGTAAAAAACCAATTAACCGTTGATTAAATATTTCATTAAAAATTTATAACTATTATCGATCTTATTAGCCCAGTTACGTTCTCTATCACGAATATAGCCGCTTATGCCGACAGTCTCCATCCTTTGTAATTAAAGGAGTCGAGCAAAGGGAAATGTTGGAAAAGCGATAGGTTGATAGTATGGTATGAGTGGGGCGGGAAGAGGCAGAGAGAGAGAGAGAGAGAGAGAGAGAGAGAGAGAATGGGTGGAGGGGCGTGGGGTGGAGTGTAAGAGCATGGGGTTTTTGGTGGGTGAATCATGGGATGGTAGGGTAAACAGCGCAATAGGACATTGCATGGACGAGGCGACGCATTTCAGGTCAGAGTACGCGGACTGGCGGCCGGGCCTCGGGGCGCTGCTGCAGCCGGTGCCCTTCCCGGAGGATGCCCTCGCCGACAAGGAGGTCCAGGAGACGGTTCTCTCCTACGTCATGCGCCGACTCGCCAAGGATCCGCGCTGCACGGTGCACCGGGTGCTACTGCCGGTGCGCGAACCTCGGCCCGGATGGATTCACATTGCCGCGCCCTCGAGTCCCGCATGCCCCGACGAGGGCCAACTCTTCGGCGACATGGTGAGTTGACGGTCCAGCCATGATTACGACCTCCCCGAGCTTCGCCTCGCCTTCCCCCGACGACGCGCTTTACGGAGGATCGCCGATAATTCAGTCGGACGATTTCGCTTCTGCTCCTTAAATTTTATTCCAAATCATGATTAATTAATTTTACAGTAATAATGCTGAAGCGTTAAAACATTGGCTTAATCGTTAACGCATTGCCTAATTAGTTTTATCGAATCGAGAATAAAGAATTGTAAATTGTAAATTGACGGCATTATTTTATCGCTCAACAACTCATCGAACGAAAGATACATTTAATTTAATAGCTTTATGTGGATGGAGAAAGTAAAAAGTAAATTCAATTGAAAATACTGAAATTATTCTTTATTTTTTCTGTTTTTCTTTCTTTCTTTCTTTCTTTCTTTCTTTCTTTATTTCTTTCTTTATTTCTTTCTTTCTTTCTTTCTTTCTTTCTTTCTTCTTTAATACGCTCGAACTGAAACATACTGTCAAGCAAGGTTAAAGCTCCTATCAAATTAAGTATTATCCAACTCTTTTTCTATCGCTTAATTCTAGACTCTCATTTTCTTAAAGTGGCTTTATACCGTTTACGTTTATTCACACAAAGTCATGTAATATTACCGCACGGCCCATTTCTAAGAAAGTACCTTTATTCGTAATTTATTTGCCATTGCAAATAAATTAAATAGAAGGCGATAATAATGAGGAATGGAAAGGAAGGATACTTTATTGTAAAAGACCCTTACATTGTTATAGGCACATGCGAGTCAGAAAATTTATTTGTAGGTTATTTATTCGAGATATGTAGGTTTATTAGGGTAAGTTTATTTAAAATATAGGCGTTGACCTACTTACCAACGGAATGCTTAAAATTATTGGAAAAAATATTTAACGCCCATAAAAATCTTGATCATAAATACGAGAAAGCATCGATCCAATGATTTTGTCGGGCGTCGCTGGAATACACGCAGTTTAATTTGAGCTTATCCTTTTTATCGCTCTCGAGAGAGCCGAGCACAGGATGAATCAACTTTAGCGATTTTCGTAGAAATAGAGTGAAACAGTACGAGAGAGAGAGAGAGAGAGAGAGAGAGAGAGAGAGAGAGAGAATAAAGTACCACCGTGTGTGCGCGCGTGCGCCTATAGGCGCGTGTAGTATTGTATACGAGAGCGTTGGGTTATTTTGGCTGTAGTGAGATGAGGGTAGTCTAGCTCCCCCAGGACGAGTGTTTGCGCAAGAAGCTCGCTTATCCGCGATTTATCACTTATACGGATCGAGGAAGGATCGACTGGTTGGCGTACCTCGTCAATGGCTCCTCACGTTTTATTCTTATCAGTCGCGAGTTCGTTGGCATTTTTATATTATTCTGTCGACGTCACGTGAACGCGATGCGCAACGCCCTTACCTCGTCGGCTCCTACAATCTATTATTTTCTTTCACAAAACTAGGCGACTCTGTGTTTATTTAACATGACGTATTTCTTAAAATGTGTATGGGCTCGGGTGTGACTGCACTCCCGTTGCGTAAATAAACCACTGCGTAAAATATGAATTATTTATCATAACTATGATTGGACTTTTATTTTCTGTTTTTTTTTTCTTTCTTTTTTTCTTTCTTCTACGCATAACTGATGAAATTCAAAAGCCGTCGCGCCGGATAATAAAGCGGCCTCTCGGAATAACTACAAATAAGTAATAATCCCAACCGATCGATAATACTTGTTTGACAAATTCATCTATATACATATGCATACGTGCCCCTAGATTATTTATTAATGGAACACCGCAGCCGTACGCTTTTCATAATAATAAATTAATGAGTATTTTCCGTTATCCGATGTCCTAAAAATGGTAGTTGTCGACTCTTACCATGATGTCGCATAATTACATAAGATTGCCATAAATATATGCTGCGTTATGTATGCATAATGTAGGCTTGGAAATTAAGTTGAATTGACAAAAATTATATACACCCAATGACTGTAGACTGTAGACACTCTATTTGTCGCACTTCAAAGGATGCCGCGACATCCGAGTGACGTCAACACCTTTCAACCACGATATTATCTTTACGACTTTGGAAACGTTTCGAGCACTGGACGAGCGTTCGCCTTCATTAACTGAAACGAGAACATTTTTTAAATCTTCGACGTCTTTGACATTTTTAATTGTCGCAAACTATCCAAACTGATGAACTTTAAAATTCGCATATTTTACGAGTGCCTCGCATACCGGCTCGCACAGACGCATTTCCAACAAGTTATCAGCATATTTCGACGAGATTAATCAACAATTTTAAACATATAGTTTAAACAGATAGTTCAAAATAAATGAAAATTATCTAAGCTCGTGTGAAATGCTCTCATTCGTAATAAGACTCCTTTCTTCTTTTATCTGCTTTTCTTTTCCGTTAAATTTATTCCGCTACCTTAATGGACGACGGAAAAGATCGTCGAAAATTAATATTTTTCATTTATTTAACGATATTTATTTATAATAGAGATATACGCAGGCTTCGTGTTTGTAAAGGAAATACAAGGCTCAAGATAATTTTTGCATTATCAGTCTTAACTTTCATATCCATTGATATTCTTCAGCATTTTGCTGCATTTTCACCATCCTCTATTTATATATCTCATATTAGGCGCTTATTTTCCAAGCTATAAAAATTTTCCATTATTACGTGCTTTCGCCTAGCATGTAAGTGTATCAGAATATAAAGAAATAATGGAGATTAATATACCTTAAGGGATAAAAGGGATATTTTATATGCTAAAATGCAGCCTCCTCTATCCGACTTTGGCTTATATCATGAAAATAGCCTAATTAAAAGATAAAAGCTAAAATGCCGATGTAGTCGTAAATTTACAAGCTAAGACGGAAAATCGCCTCGGACATTTAATTAGCCGACATTTTATTGTAGCGCATCCTTATTATATTTCAATCGAACAAAAAGCCTTAAATATACGAATATTAAAATGACGCTACTCTATAAGTAAATTATAAACTCTTGTTCCAATTTCTTTTCTCCCACTCCCAAGCTCTCCCTCTCCCTTCATCGATACAACAGACGCTTTCTCGCGCGCTCTCTCTCTCTCTCTCTGTCTCTGTCTCTCTCACTCTCTCTGTCTCTGTCTCTCTCTCTCTCTCTCTCTCTCTCAATCTCAATCTCAATCTCAATCTCAATCTCAATCTCAATCTCAATCTCAATCTCAATCTCAATCTCAATCTCAATCTCAATCTCAATCTCAATCTCAATCTCAATCTCAATCTCAATCTCAATCTCAATCTCAATCTCAATCTCAATCTCAATCTCAATCTCAATCTCAATCTCAATCTCAATCTCAATCTCAATCTCAATATTGGTCAACAAATAACAATATCCAAACTATCGACGGGGTTCCATTTATTTTTCTCCTCCTGAGGTAACCTTTAGTTGCGAACCACGACAACTTACTGCGTAAGTTCCTGATCAAACGCAAACATAAAAGAATGTAATAACATCGAGGCTGGCGTAATAACATTTTGGCTCGAGAAGAAAGAAGAAAGAAATCATTTATAGATCCGCGATACGGTGAATTTCCACGTCCAATAAGCGATTCATTTACTCGCCCATCCTTATCCATTTCATTTGCTCGCCTCCCATCACCGAACCTCTATTTCCATCGTCGTTCCGCTATTTCAGTCAACTTCCCATTCCCCGTCGTATCAGCCACGTTGGTCGGCCAAGTCACACGAGTTCTTAGTCCCGCTCCAGAAATCGGATACCCTAAGCTCTCGAAATTCAAACCACGATTCTCTCGTAAGAAGCAGCGCTAAATGACTCGCATTGCCAACGTAGGACCGATCGACCTTATCGCGGCAGCTTTTGCCCCGCGAAATTTATTAGGACGATCGGCAATCTCGTCGGCTTCAATGATTAACGTCGCCGCGATAAGGAGGCTCCTCGGCACCACGGAAAAAGCCAAACGTGATATCGGTCGTTGATTAGTTCGCCTCGTTCGCCCGATGAGCCTCATCGAACCACGAAAGCCACGAAAGGGCACACGGAGTGGAGTCGCGTCGAGGATACCGGAGATCGCATCTGCGGATGGGTTGGCGGATTTAGTCACCTGGTAACGGATCTACTCTGTTTCAGCTGACGACGCTGTTGGCCTGCTGCTGTCGGCGCAAGCGCTTCATAAGCTCCCTGCTGAAGCAGACAGGCGGCGCCTGTATTCTCCTCGGTGTGAGGGGTTGCGACGCCGCCCAGGAGGCGCTCTGTCTCATGCTCGAGTGGCGCCTACTGCCGAGCGAGGAGGCCAGGCTCCAGGTCGTCTCGGCGCTTCAGTCAACCGAGTCCGGGAAGACGCGATACGCGGCTCTTTGCCAGAGGCAGAGAAATCTCCAGGAGTTGGTGAGTATCGGATTGCGAGGGGGCGCCGATCATCGAGACTCTATTTCCCTCTTTCCCACCCCCCTCCTCCTCCTCCTTCTCCTCCTCCTCCTCCGAGTTATTAGTAGAACGGAGAGTATTGCATGGGCGATTGCATGGGGAGGGGAGTGGCGTCGTACGCCGGCGACGTGTTGACGTTAATAATGTAATTCTTTAAATCCAGGCCACCTCCTTGCCACCTTACAACGTTCCTCTTCGTCATTATGAATGCTAATTACTCCAGCATATCAGATATAATGCATTGTACGGCTAAACTTATTATGTACTTATAACTCTCGAATATGAATATTCACGAGGTCGCTTATAAGTGAATAAAATAATAATAAAATACAATTAGAATATTAAGCGGAGCCCAACAATAATATTGAATTTACATAATAATGTGAAGTTTATAAATTTTCATGACTCGTTAAATTAAATGCATACTACGGTATGTTTAATGGAACTTCTCATTCGTCCGTAAATCTAGGAAAAGGCAATCAGAAGTTTAGGTCTATTGGATTATGCAGGATTATTAAAATTATCACAGAGATACATTAAAATTGATTTTATGGAAGAAAGAGGGGTGGAGCCGAGTGCCGCTATCATTAGCCAATCAATAGTCTTTGGGAGAGAACGGCGGTGATGACTTGCGAAATGGCCGATCGTTTGCCTTAACGATCGACGCTACGCGCGTCGTTAAATCAAAACGCAGCCAGTCGCTGGCTAAAGTCGCGAGCGATGCCGATTAATCTAACCGAGGCACAATTTCTTGTTTCAGCAACAGAAGGGCGGACCCCGCAAGCTCACCCTACCGGTGCGCGCGACCGACGCGGATGTGGCCCTCCTCCTCGGTGGTGGTGCTCTGGGCAACCTCGAGTGCCTCAGCCTGGCCTTCACCTCGGTCACCTCGGCTTGCGCGGAGCAGCTAATAAAGCTTCCCGCCCTCAGGTATCTCAACCTCTGGGCCACACAGTTCGGCGACACGGGTCTGCAGATGATAAGCGAACACCTGCAGAAGCTCCAAGTGCTCAACCTCTGCGAGACCCCCGTATCCGACAAGGGCATCTCCAAATTGGCATGTGAGTATACGATAACCGCCATTATCAAGTCTATCGAGAATAGAAATACGTTGATTCATCAATGAGGGATTCGAGAGCGCGCAAGAGCCATTCGAATTCACGTGCAAACCACTCTGGAGCGATAAGAGTGATACCGCGTTCAATAGATCGGACACATTTGTGTCTTTGTAAACCTTCCCCATGAATCTTTAATGCCATCTACAATTCGTTTGGCCACAGATTACGATACAACTGAGGTTTTTCATCTCTTATTACATATGAAAAAAAAAAGCAAGAAAAAAAGAGAAAAAAGATAACAAAAACCTCCGTCGTTACGTTCTACTTCAATTGAAATTTATTATTATCATCATCAAGATTTTCATTGTCATTATTATAACTATTGGATTTCTTGCTGCTGTTGCTAGTGCGATTGTTATTTTATTAAATTTCCACAACATTAAGATAAAAATAAGATTTCTATATATTACAAAGTTATATATTTTGAAAAAAGAGTTCTCGCAAATCTGTAAATCTTCTTCTTCTAAGCTTTCCGGCACTTCATGCTTTCACTCCACGTCATTGGAAATAAAAATTTCTAATTAATTTTTCTAATAAAAATGCTCTTTTGACTTTTATATATAATGTAATTCTTCGGGCATATCCATGACTATGTAATTTACTTTTTATATGATCATTCGAACGAAAAGGAACAAGATTATTCCATTCATCTAATTACGTAAAGATTTCGTGTCGTATAGATTTCTCCACCGACTCAAATTTCAGCTATAAAGATTAATCTATATTTAATCTCTATTGACACTAAGGCCTATATAACTTGATTACCCTAGCAGAATAATAATGCGAGCTTCGTGCAAAAAGCAGCTTTTACAAAAAGTAATGGGAACCGATCGAGAGGCTGACTTCAAAAATATAAACACATAGCTGTGAAAAAATGAATCGTAGAATAACTTTGTCGGAAAGCGCTCGTATTGTTCGATCAAGCGTCCCGAAAACATTCGCTCGAAATCTCGATTTTAGGAGGAGGGTGGGGTGGGGTGGATAGAAAGGTCAAGTCAGCGATCTTAATGCGACTGCTTACTTTACAGCTCTAACGAACCTGCGAAAGCTCAACCTCAACAGCACGAAGCTCTCGGCATCGACATTCGAAACGTTGAAGAAGCGGCTGCCCGCCCTCCAGGAGTTCGACGTGCGCTACACGGAGGCCTGGTGACCCGAGTACACGCCCGAGAGCGCGTCGAACGGATGCTCTCGGGACGGATCGCGTCACGGCTCGCGTCACGGCTCGCGTCACGGCTACAGGAGCAGCAGCACCAAGTCAACTGCGAAGCTCAAGCGCTGAGCGAACACTTAGCGAAACGCACTTACGCATCCTCCTTCTCTGTAATAATCGTTGTGGTTTTCTTCAAGTTAGGTGAACGGTCTTATAACTGCAGCTCCTCCTTATATCTGCGCATCTATACATATTTATATCAGCGTATATCTGTATAGCGGCGCGTATGTATCTTCACGTATTTATATATGTACAACGAGAAGCGGCGATTCTATATCTTTATCTAACTCTCTCTTTCACTCTCTCTCTCTCTCTCTCTCTCTCTATCTCTATCTCTCTCTATCTCTCTCTATCTATCTCTCTCTTACTCTCTCTATCTCTATCTCTATCTCTATCTCTATCTCTATCTCTATCTCTATCTCTATCTCTATCTCTATCTCTATCTCTATCTCTATCTCTATCTCTATCTCTATCTCTATCTCTATCTCTATCTCTATCTCTATCTCTATCTCTATCTCTATCTCTCTATCTCTCTTTCTCTCACCTCTCGCACCCCCGCCCCGTCTCGCCAAACCGCTACACTAACTCCAACTTTCCTTCCCACCCATGCATACATACACACGCGCGCGCGCCCACCATGAAACACATGCATAACCGTACAGACGCACAACAGTATATACGCGCGCGTACACACAATAACAATTACTCACTTTATTCTCAATCCGATATTGCCTTTTTCCATTCGTCGTCTATATTCGCAATTTTAAACAGCGTGAAATTTTTAAATGTTTCTGCCGTGGAATCGCTAATAGATCACGTTTGCATAGCACTCGCTTCTTCAAATTTCGAAGAAATTACTTTTCGTATTTTTTACTCGTTGTCAATGTTACGTCATGCTTTAAATCTCAATTGATCCTAACGGCTTCGTTTCGTCCTTGTCATTCATTTGTCGACGAGGGATGAAATGGATTCTCTGATCTCCATAATATTCGTCAAAAAGATATTAAGAGGATGATAAATGTCAAACCGATAAGATATTCGGCTCGAAAAGCTATTAGAGACGATTGGTATTGCAAGCAATATCACGAACAATAAACTAATAACATTCATTGTATAACCTTTCTTACTGAAATATTTTATTTTTTATAATCCATTAGTAAAGTATTAAATAAGAGTATACGTTCACTTATTTTGTTATTAATTTTACTTACACGCACGCACGAAAACTAAATCACACACACACACACACACACACACACACACACACAAACAAACAAAAGAGTATATTATATTATGAGTATATATACATACATAATAATAATTTGCTATCGTTAATTCTATTATGTTATCTATTATGTATTTAAATAAGGATAATGATTATGAAGTATTTATGATTAAAAGAAAAACACAGTACTTATATTTTCTTAATAAATCCACATATCATTTCGAATGCTTCGCGAGCAATTGTTATATATAATATTAATAATATTAAAAAGAAACTGATTAACATTATTTAATAATTTAATAGGATGAATCAAGCACGATGGATTTATCTCGCCACTTGGTGTTCGCATTCGTATTTTAAAAATAACGTCACTACGCGGCGAAAGTTTTCTCTGAAAGTTATATTCACGAATGATCGATAGATGATAATGCACATACATAGTTTTAATAACAAAACTTATAAATAAAGAATATTGTATCGATAGAGAATAACTGCTTGGAAGCACTGAAATGCCTTCAACGTTAAAATATTATTCGATATTATCGCATTAGGTCCTTTCTTTATTCAAGTGAATATTCTAATTACTTTATTAGTCTTTACAATCGGTCCAACCGACATTGGAAAGAATTGTCAAAGTTGTAAATTTTAAAATTGTTTATTATTATTACAGATGTCGTGTAATATATACCTAAACAGTTTTCCAAATACTTAGAATAAATTGTTTCTTCCTTTCAATACAAAATACAAATCTAACTCTATATAATTGCAAAATAATGACTGGATTAGTTGGAAGAAAAAAGAAAAAAAAAAGAAAAAGTAATTACGGATAGTAAGTGAGAAAAAAATCTATTTCCGTTATGAAAACTTATAGAATTGTATCCGATTTTTATATTGCGATTCTTCATTCGTTTTCTATACAAATCAACAGCGCCCGCAGTCACGAGGTTTGAAAATTCTAATGAAACTGCAATCGAACGATTTTAAATAAATTACACAATCTATCAATTCCTTTGTAATCGCATTATATATTTCAATTAAAATCGATAGATTAATTATCTCTGCTTAAAATGAAAGAATTAAAAAGAGGGATAAAAATACGAAGCCAGTGAAATCTCAGAGAATCTAACGCCTCGAAGGCGACGTATTCATGTAATAATATGAATGCGTATTTTATTCAATAACAATATGAAATAAAATATACGTGTATGTATATGTATATGTATATATATATATATATATATATATATAAATACATACGTATGCATACATATAATAATTATAAAATAAATAGAAAAAACTGAAAATGGTAGAGAAATTAACTTCCGCCGATAAGAATATTACTAAAAAATTATTTTATTTTTATTTTTAATAATACAGAATTGCGGTAAATAAACTTTCGCTCACACATTGACTTGACATAGTGGTAAAAAATTATTTTATAATACTTTTCTCTCTATAAATTAGATATATTGAGAGCGATGTATACATAAACGTGTACACTTATTAAGATAGGTTTTTCAAATAGAAATTATTACCGAAATTGTTACCGAAAATCGAAATTAATTTTATTACCATTTCCAGTCCCAAATAAATAAAATAAAAGCAGCGGATCTTATCTTATCTTAATAATAATAATAATAATAATAATAATAATAATAATAATAATAATAATAATAATAATAATAATAATAATAATAATAATAATAAAGCTTAACTTAACCGACTGCTCTTAGAAAAGTATACATACATGCATGCCAACACATGCATATACATACATTCATGCATGCATACATATTTACATACATACACACTCATACGTACATACATGTATATATATATATATATATATATATATATATATATATATATATATATACATATACATATACATATACATATACGTAAACACGCGCGCGCGAGCACGCACACGCTCACATATATGTTTTGCATGTATGTTACATAGGCTCGCGCGAGTGTGTATATATATGTGTGTGTGTGTGTGTGTGTATGTATGTATGTGTGTGTATGCGTGAGTTTGTTTGTGTATGTATATTGTGACTTCAGTGTGAACACTGCCACGCGCTTTCGTTGACGTGAGGTGACAGAATTATTGTCAGCGAGGGCACGCCGACGAATTGATCGTATGTTGCTACGTTTGTGTGAACATTAGTACGAGCAACCTAATGCAGAGAAATGGGAGTAAGAACTATTTCGAAAATAATGATATAAACGATCTTAGTGTACATAGTTAAGCGCAAAAAAAATTAACATTAATAATTTATTTCCGGTAGTTCATATTTATATATAAATATTCTATAACGGTTATAACTAATATTATTATCATCGCACAAGTTGATGTAAACGCAGTCGGACGATAAAACAAAAAAAGAACAAAAAAAAAACAAAAACAAAAAAAAAACAAAAACAAAAAAAAAACACGAAACAAAACGAAAAAAACCGAAAGAAAACGATAAAGACAGAGGATTAAGTAAGTAATGAACGAGAGGCGGAAGTCGAGAAACGTTTGTTCGATCTTCAACAGAGAGAGAGAGAGAGAGAGAGAGAGAGAGAGAGAGAGAGAGAGAGAGATCTTCGACATACGCAAAGTCGGCAAGTGTAGCCGCTCAACTTTAAAAAGTTGCGTACACGACGAAGCCTGAATTATCGATAAACAATGGAGAAGAGAAAGAGGAAATGAAGTGACGTAGGGCGCAAAAGGTAGGACGGTTGTGAACTGAACCTCTGGAGCCCTTGGCGTTATTATTACATAATGAATACCTTAAATGATTATAGGACGACTGATTCCGATGAAGAAAATTTCCTTTTTCGATTTTTTCGAGCTGCGCAATGTATCAGGGAAGCAAGCGTTGCAAGACTGTCTACGTCAATTTCGATTAACTGCGATTTTAATGCGTAGCCAGTATTAGCTCTAGCGAGGCAATAAACAATAATGAAAAACAGAGAAACGAACAAACGAACAAAAGAAAAAAAAGAAACATAAACGAAATAAAAAAACGAAATAAAAAAAACAACAACAAAAAACGAAAAAAACGAAAAAAGAAAAAAGACGAAGAATACAAAAAAGGGGGAAAAAAAAAAAAAAAAAAAAAAAAAAAAAAAACAGATGCAATTTATGCGTCTAAGACCTCGTAAGGCATCGATTATATTATAAAATTCACAATTTCGCTTGTGCAATGCCGATAAATGCTAATATAACTACTTAAATTTCAGTTTTCAAAATTCGTACTCTCGTCATTGAAAATCTCTCCTCCCTCCCTACATCATCCTTCCGCTTTTATTCATCATCATTCCACTTTTATCTCCTCTGGGTAATGAATAAGGCCAGAGGTATAAAAAAAAAAAAAAAAAAAAAAAAAAAAAAAAACACAAACAAAAATAAAAACAAACAAAAAAATAATAAAGGTAAAATGAGAAAAAGAAAATAAATTGAGGGATATTCCGAAATACATCGAATGTACAATCTATTTATGTCTCTTTACGTTATTACTATATCGTTGTTTTTTCTTTTTCCTTCTTTTTTTTTTTTTTCTTTTGTTTCTTTTCTTTTCTTCTGTGTTTATTTATTACAACAAAATTCCGCACAAAATTCTCGTACTTGTCTCTTCCCCCGAGTACCCTCCCAAGAACAAAGTCAACTTTATTGAAATCTATATAACATAATAATCTTGACGGTTGAGTTGATATTATTATTCATCCACCTCTCTCACTCCTCCAATTGACATTCTCCGTCTCTTCTAATCCTAGTCGCCTATACCCTTGCACTCCCTCCAAATAATAACCATATGTGTCGATCGTTGTATGTATGTGTCCTCCCACGTCGCTATCTGCCGCTAAACAAAACTGTTAAGGCTGTTAAGGCAATACCTTAGAAGGAACGGTCGCTGAAAATTCTTACGTCACCGCTCACTATCACAGACGATTGAAGTCGGTGTAGACGAGCGGCTGTATGCTTGGGGGTAATGTCCGATACACCTCGTAAGGCACAGTTTCTGCAACAATAATGAGCGAAAAAGTGAAGAAGAGAAAAGAAATAATAATAACTACGACGTTTAATTCAATAAACAGTTGAATTACTCGATATCTTGTTATTACAATTACATTTATCTCTTTTGTGTTTGAAGTAACCATTTGGTTATTTATTATTCTCTAGTCGTTTGCCAGCCTGGCTTTCCAAATTTTGCAACATACTAAATTTTGTCAAACTTTACGTGGGCTTTGAATTAAATAACAGCCACTTTAAATATGAATAATAATCATGTATTGTTGATTCATTATTTTTATTCAAAATTTGAAATTGCGATTTTGTCACATTTATTTGACAATTAAATTGCTGCGAATTTACATGGAAAAGATATATTATTATCAATACCTTTCGCTATTTCATATAATCACTCTCTTTGCATTTGTAAATTCTTAATTTCAACGTAATGATATGCATGCTAAAGGTCATCTTCGATTTGAAAGTGACAACAACAACTACAAATATATGTAGGTGTGTGTGTGTGCGCGCGCGCGTGCGTGTTTTTTTTTTTAACAAAATTATTATATTTACGGATATTTCACGAGTTTTTACTCGTAGGATTTCTCTGTCGTTAATATTTATCGGAAACTTCAAGTGGAAAAACAAATAATTCTACTTTTGTATTGTTTTTGTTTTTGTTTTTGTTTTTTTTTGTTTTGTTTTTTTCTTCAGACAAATCATGCAAAATGTGAAAAAAAAAACAAAGGAAAAATTGACCCTTACGAACATGCACTTTTTGTAGAAAAAAAGAGCAACACAAATGTAAGACAATGATTATATTAATAATGCTTATCGATCCATTATTCGAAAACGCATATTTGACACGAACATTATGCAACAAATTAACTACTTTGCTCTCTCCAATTGTCGCCTCATTCAAATAAAATAGCATAAAACGTACCATCAAACCATCAACACAAATCTCACCTTTACAAGTATACTTGAGATTGGACCAGAGAACCATTTGTTGGGAGAAGGCAAAGACACCGAGCCTTCCGCCTTTTAGCGTCGAATCGAAGTTATTACCGGAGTCGGCAATTAATCTCTGACCTTCGTAGATCCATAATCGAATGAGACCGATCCTTGGCCTGTGGATCAGTCGCCACCTGTACGATGTGTATTGCTTCCAGCCGACCTTCCGCGGGTCCTTCCACAGCAGCTTCACCTACGCGACAAAATCATAATAAACGAATTTCAACCCTGCACACGCGAACAAAAAACACGCGGTGTACCATTAGCGGTCGATGTGAAAGCAAAAGTGTATAAGGATGGATATTTGAAAAATCGTCTTGAAAAAAGAAATATCAGCAATTTTTTTTTTTTTTTTCAAGGCTTTTTAATGCGAACGATTGGAAAATTCTGACAGTTGTTTGATAAACACGCGTCTTGGTGTTCGGATGGTAAATGGCGGCAATTTAATTGGCCAACGAATGTGAGGGGCATTCATGAAATACACGAATGCTCCGTCTATTCTGTAATAATCTATTATTAGAGTACCGTCAGATCATTGCAAATCTACTCGCAAAATAAAGCAACGACATTGCTTGAATTGCAAATAATGAATTAAAACTATATTAATAATAAAATCATAGTGCGTCGAGGAGAGTATTTATTCATGTAGTTTGAAATTTCGAAATTTGGAATATCGGAGCGCGTTACATTTGAAACTTTTTTTTTTTTTTTTTTTTTTTTTTTTTATAAATTTTGAAACTCATTGAGGTTATGTGTATGTCCAGACACTAAATTAACGGTATCCAACTGTTGCATGTAATAGCAAAAGACAAAGTGTGGGAACAAATACATACTAAAAGTAATTATTCAACGTAATCAATTATTATTATTATTATTATTGATATCGTTGACTAGAAAATGAACGTGTCACTTAAGACTTGAGCTCTTTACTTAGCTATCAATTAAGTTTAGCTTTTAAGTTTCGTTATTCTCCAAACATAGGGCTGACGAGGCCAGTTTTGCTTTCTTTTGTTTCCTTTTGTTTTCCTTTCTTCTTCTTGTTTTTCAAGCAAAAGTACAGTGTCTAATCGATAGTATTTCTAATCTAACTGGTGCAGTGGCATCCCGACAAAAGAAGTATTTTTTCAATAAAGTACATTGCGAAATCTTCGCAATCGGTTCGATCACGCGATTACCGATAGTTGTATGTAAAAGTCAGTGCAAAGGTTCGGTTTTAATTGCGCTCGTTTAGCCTCTTCTGACGTTTACTTGCAACAGTACAAGTTTATCATTGTACAATATGTAAATAACAATATAAGTTGAAAGCTCTTGTTAAAAACAAAATACGACACGATCCTCGTCATTTATCAACGACCCTCTCAATATTCTAATCTTTTGTGTCAAAACAATGCAACCGAGCTTTATATCAATCCTTTGTCACAGAATTTAAAATAATTTTTCATCATCTCACTATAATCTTCAACTACTTTATGTTTACTTATTTTTTTTCATTATATTATTAACAATTTCGTTCCTATTTATTTCGTTCGAATCCTCTTTATTCATTATTATCTAAAACTAACTAATTACTAACTAACTCATTCTCGTATTATGCCTTTACAATAAATGTATATAGAAATTACTTATAATAACTATTTCACATGGAAATCATTATCTCAAATATATATTGTGTAATTATTCGTGGGTAGTTGCTTTTGCGGTTGACTATCGAACCGCTAACTTCCATTATTGTCGCTTTATTGCCTTTATAACTAACTTTATAACATTACATCTATCCTTGATATTATAAATACCTAATTAATACAGATATTACATTATGTCGATTATAATAATATCACATTTATTCCCAATCGAAAGCCTCGAATCGCTTTGCTTATAATAATACTCGAATCGTTCAATATAAAATTATTATAAATATTGCCGTTAATGTGTTTTGAAGAAGAAAAAAAAATTTCAAACTACCATATCAAATTCAAGTGTTTTATAACAAATTAATAATCGATTGTCTTGATATGACATTAGAGTCTCAACATTTCAGAAATGTATTTTAAAATTTAATGTATATAAAATGCGATATATAATGACGATGTGCGATGATTTATAATCATAATAATTACTTCATATTCGGAATATATTTGTAATATTTGCCTCAATTACTTTCCAAAATAATATCACACGAATAAATTTGACATGAAGATCATGAACATTATTATAATTCATTTAATTAGTTTCTCCCAATATTCGTAATTATTCATTAATTGCTGTATAAATAGCTGCATTCGACAAAACAAAATCCAATTTAGGAGCTCAATAATATTTGTTTTAATAATATTCATGGATCTTGGGCAACGTTCGAATTTGCATGAAAATGCACGAGTAATTTACTTATTACATTGGACAGAGAGGTTGAGCCGAGGGGGAAGTATAACCGACCTGTTCGTGCGTTGTTCCCGTGTGCCAGAGACTGTTGCGCATGATTTCACCAGGTCCGGTCTTCGAGTCGACGAGCTTCAACTGAATGCCAGTCTCGGCTACAGCCCGGAACGGCTTGGGCTCCCAATACGTTTGCAAGACTTTCTTCCACATTACCGTGTAGAATTGTCGAGTATTTTGATAAGAGAATACGAAGCCCACGTAATCGTCGTCAATGTCCGTGTTTACGAAGAACGTCCCCTCGAAATCCACTCCGTTGAAACTGTCGAGACCTTCGTTCAAATGAAAATTACATCTTTGATAAATCATTTGCGGTCAATTGAATTCAGGCGTAACGAATTCTCCGTATTTCTAAAATTTGCCAAGATTTTTTTTAATTTTTTCTAATTTTAGTAAGTGAACGTAAGTGAAATAATAAAATCGCTTATAGAATTGCCATTAAGGAGATGTACTAATTAAACTTGGCAATATTCTTCTCAAATTTTCATATCAAGAGAAATTAGCTTGAAATTGCCACGACAATTCTGATAATTTTCATAATTGATTAAATATTAATTTTTCTTATCGGCATAATTATTCTTAATGTAAAAAAAAAAAAAAAAAAAAAAAAAAAAGAAAAAAAAAGAAAAAAAAAATAATGAAAGTAATAAAGATGAAAGTAGTGTAAGGACTCACCGACGGCAATTCCTGGATCACTGTTCATCGTTTGATAAATTTCTGAGCCATTGTGGTGAATTTCCCAAATCGGATCCTCTTGAGTTTTGCCATATGGATCGAGAGCTATGGTATCGTATTTGCGAAAATCCGTAGCCCAAACTCGACTGTTATTTGGACAAATATCTATGAGGTTACCAACTTTATCGTTGTCGTTGTCATCGTAGCAAGCATCTCCAACACCGTCGCCTGAAAGAATTATTTAATAACTCCCTTACGTGCTTTTTCACCCTTCCAACTCGCTCGACCCTTTCTTACTGCTTATTCTAACCATTGTATTTCAAAAGTAACGTTCGTCCACGTATTCATACCTCGCTATTATCATTTATGTCTATCAAATCTGCTTTGCATTTTAATTTCGATAAAAAAAAAAGCGATTAAAGGAAAGGGAATTCGAGAGTGAAACCAATAGGATTATTCTTGAGATAATGACTATTGAATTCGTTCACCCTGAATTACCACTGAGTGGGCGAGAAGATAAGAATTACTCCAAAGACTGGGAATAGCATCGAGTTTGACAAAAAATTATTCGAAATCACAATTTATCGTCGTCGCTATTAGGAAGAAATTTGTTTAATAAAGCATTATCGAGGAAATTGAGGTAGAAGATCGGTCGAAGAGGGGCCAGCTTATAAATATCGGTCGTTCGTCTCACCGTTGAGATCGACTTGGTCAGGATTGTAGACGTATGGGCAGTTGTCTCGGTCGTTGGGCACCCGGTCGTTGTCGGCGTCATCGTCACACTCGTCACCAATGCCGTCGTTGTCCGAGTCAGTTTGGCTGGGATTTGGGTCACTGATGCAATTGTCGATATCGTCTTGTATTCCATCCTTATCCCTGTCGGTATTGTTGTCGCAAACGTCGCCCACGCGATCGCCGTCTTCGTCGGCCTGGTCGGCATTCGGGGTGCGTGGACAATTGTCGCATAGGTCGCCGATGCCGTCGTGATCAGAATCCATCTGATCGTCGTTCCACGTTTTTACGCAATTATCCTCGTCGTTCGGCACGTCTACGCCAACACACGAAATGCATTATTTTGACGAATTTCAATATTCTCATACCAATGACGAATCGTGATGATTATTATTCGTCCGATTGGCAGTGGAGGGACGCCGATAGAAGCTGTTGGTTACCGTCGTCGTCGATGTCGTCGTCGCAGGCGTCGCCGATTCCATCGCCGTCAGTGTCGTGCTGATCCCTGTTCTTGACGTAGGGGCAATTGTCGCAGACGTCGCCCACGTCGTCCGGGCCTTCGTGATCGCTGTCCGCTTGGTCGCTGTTGGCCGTCAGGGGACAGTTGTCCGAGAGGTTGAGGACGTTGTCGTTGTCGGCGTCGTCGTCGCAGGCATTGCCCATACCGTCGCCGTCCGCGTCCTCCTGACCGCTGTTGGGTGTCTTTGGGCAATTGTCCATTTGGCAGCGCTGATCGTCACAGTCGAGCTGCTCGTCCGGGTAGCCGTCGCTGTCCGAGTCCACGCCGCAGACGAGGCCGTCGCCCGCCCAACCGACGTTGCACTAGGGGTCACAGCAGATAAGCGCGACTTGCCTTTCACGGCCGATAACATCTCTTAACTTTTTTTCTTTCTTTCTCTCTTTTTTAAAATGAATTTTAGCCCCGCACACGCTTCATCCATACACCTACACTATCACTCGCACTTCACATAAGGAATAAAGATTTCTACGTACAATTCATTCGCTTGCACTTATTTTTACGAATTTATGGGAGTTGACAGCAGATAAGCGCGACTTGCCTTTCACGGCCGATAACATCTCTTAACTTTTTTTCTTTCTTTCTCTCTTTTTTAAAATGAATTTTAGCCCCGCACACGCTTCATCCATACACCTACACTATCACTCGCACTTCACATAAGGAATAAAGATTTCTACGTACAATTCATTCGCTTGCACTTATTTTTACGAATTTATGGGAGTTGAGAGAGGGAGAGAGAGGGAGAGAGGGAGAGAGAGAGAGAGAGGATACATTCTCGATCAGGGATATTTATAAGGGATCGAGGATTAGCCTGATCGATATTACGCGCACCCGTCCATTCTTAGGTGTTACCGATGTTAAGGCATTGCGAAGAAAATACTCACTAAATTACGTATCAATTGTTGCAACTTATTTATCTGCGTAAATTTTATATGCATTTGCGAGATCACAATTAATTTTCTACGATAAAGGATAATGGAAATAGGTAAAGTCAAGCGAATAATTTTCGATCATAGCGAGCGATAAGATAATTTCGGCAATTTGCTTAGAGTCAATGTTAAAAGTTAATGCAAGCTCAGTGAAGCTGTCAAGGAAAGTTTTATAATAATCATAAAATAATGCTCATATTGAAAAATTTACCAACATTTATAATTATAATATACTCTTTAAAATTATTATTATTACATATCGATAAATGCTCAAAAAGGAAAATAGATGGAAAAAGGCGGGGGTGGGGGGTGTGGTGTGTGGAGGAGGAGTGGAAATGGAAATTAATGACTATCAAACGGTCATACTTTCTATCGCTCGAAGCGTATAAATAAATTACTTGTTAATTTTTTAATACCAGTAACCATTTAGTAGTGAAGTACTTTACATAGGTGTATGAAAATAAGAAAAATTATGCAAAGAAAGAAATCATGCGCATCAGTCATTATCTAATTTTCGCGAGTCGCCCCCTCCCCTCCCTACACCCCTTCCCAACCCATCGTAGCCTCAAAGGGTACGTATAGGATAAAGAATAGAAATATTAGAGAAAGCTAATGTAATGAGAAGCAGAGAGTCTTGGTAATGTAATAATAAACCAGCAACTAAATACTAAATAGAAGTAAATCCTCTTGAGTCCTCAACTAGCAATGCTTCGCGAATAATAAATCACTTGCTTATTGTTTTGACTTTTGCTTATTATGGGATAATTACCCTGCACGAGTACTGATTGACAGCGATGCAGATGCAGTCGGCGTGGTGGTTGCATCTAGTGATACCGTCGGGACAGACGTCGTGACTGGGATGGCAGCCGACGGTCTGATTGCCGACAAAACCGCTTTTGCACGAGCCACATCTAGCTGTTCCCTAAGAAAAGATATCTTTACACTTTCCTCTATTAATTCGTTACTTTATTTTAATGCTCCACATTCACTTTCAATAAACTTTCTTCTTCATTCGTATTTGTATTATCTTTGTTATTTTAATGTTATTATACATTTTACGTTTGCCTTCTTCACTTAAGGTCGGCTTTGAAAGTGCAGGCAACGGCAATAGCAAAACAATAAATGACAATCACATAATGCGATGGATTATAGCTAATTGATAAAAGAAAAAAAATCTAAATATCAAAAGTTGAGATTAATAAAATAAAGAATAATGTGTTGTTGTATAAACATTTTTTCTTTTTATTTCTGAGCTGATTAGAAGCTACAAAAAAGGAATTTCATCGTATTTCCGACGAAGCCATAGATATTATCTGCATCATTATTTTAAAATAATATAGACGGAAGATGAGAAAGCAGTTAAGGGAAAATAAACACAATATTGCGAGAATAACGAAAATTACTTCACATGCGATTTGCCAAAAATTCGACTTTCTTCTTATTGTCTTATCTCCTTCTTTCTCATATAATTTAGTGAATAAGCGAATCGGCCTTACCAAATGCATCAATTTACGCCAATAGAAATACGTATACGCATTTATAAAATTATATTACGCTTCGCATATTGGATACGTCAGTACCGTCGTCACGTCTTACAAATCTAATATTTTCAGACATTTACAGAGGCTGAAGGGAACTCGTATAAGTTTGACAACTTCTTCTCTTCGATTTTTCCTTCTACATCGCCAATGAGTATATTATCATAAACTTTCGTACGGCCTTGATCAAGAGCAAGGGGCGCTTACAATGAGTTGTCCAACTTATATCGAACTTCCGAAATAAAGGTATACGATCTATCGACATAAGTATAAGGATGTGGAGATAATAATAATAATAATAATAATAATAATAATAATAATAATAATAATAATAATAATAATAATAATAATAATAATAATAATAATAATAATAACAATAATAATAATAACAATAAGAATAATATTGATAATAACAATGATGATATTAATAACAACGATCATAATAGTTATGTCGTAGTAGTAGTAGTAGTAGTAGTAGTAGTAGTAGTAGTAGTAGTAGTAGTAGTTATAATAATAATAATAATTATTATAATAGTAGTAGTAGTGGTGGTGGTAGTAGTAGTAGTAGTGGTGGTGGTAGTAGTAGTTGTAGTAATAGTAGTAATAGTAGTTGTAGTAATAGTAGTTGTAGTAGTAGAAGTGGTAAATAATAATAGCGTACAAAATAGTTACAATAGTATTATAATTTTTTTTTGTGCATTTTGTACAGGAGTAAATGCTGTACAAGAAACTGCAACGAAGGTAGTTAGTTACTTACATCGTTACATTCGTTATAAATAAACGTCGATAAATTCGTATTAAGCTGAATAGTTTTTGAAATTTAAGCTCACATGTTTTCAAAAAGTTTGCTTAATGATCGCGCACTTGATTAAAAAGAATTGTATGCCTTGGAAATGCAAGTGTTTGGATAATGCTCTCACAAAATACATGTATTTAAGGATTAATTGAGGCTCCGTTTGATTTCGCTTGCTTCGCATCGTTAAACTTACCTCGGTATACCTTATCGATAAGACAATTAACAAGAAGGATTAAGAATTTTTATGGGAAAGAATAAAGAATCGTTAATCGTTATCAGCAAGATCTTCTTTCCTCTCGTCAACTATACATTATCATTATGCGTGTTTAATCATTTGTCTCCGGAAAGTATACAATTATAAATGGCGCTCGCGCTCATGTTCGGAAAAGATAAGAAAAATAGCGTATTTTCATACTACAACTGTATCTCTAATATATACGTTTAGTGTACGCAAGTGCAAAGTAAATAACGATAGACTGCGGCATTAAGAGTAAAAAATTGATAAAAGAGTATTAGCCATTGGGTATTCGATAGTGGAGAAAGAAAAAAAAAAGAAAAATAAAAGAAAAAAAGAAGAAGAGCAAATAAAAGAAGAAAGAGAAAAGAGGGAAGACGGTAACTCTTAGTTGTCTTTGCATAATTATATAAAATGCTTAGTACGCACCGGGACTATGCAACCGGGAATGCACTCCTTGATCAAATCTCTGCACTCTTTATTTCGTACGTAAGCTTTGCTAGTCCCGGAATCTAGTCGCGGCTCTAATTTAATTATTTAATTGCTCATTGTTTAATTGCGTCCTTATTGCTTAATTGCTTAATTGCTTAATTGCTTAATTGCTTAATTGTATTATTGTTTGCATTTTTGTTTGTAATTCACGTGCAAGTCACCTCGGAGTTGAAGCAATCTGAGTTGTCGGTGCAGCCGCCGTTGTCGTCGCCGCACGGGTCGATCCTGTAGCAGTACTGACGATGAGTTAGGGCGTACTCCACGCCCCGGCCTTCCGATACGTTTCCGGTCATACCATCGGGGCAAGAGTCACATCTGCGACAACACGAGACTCCCCAACAATTAGCTTTCTTTTATATATATATATATATATATATATATATATATATATATACATGTGCGTGCGGTAATTGTTTTACTATATTTGTTAGACATTGGATAAACATAATTTGAAATTCCTTGATCGACATGTTATTTAAATTAATTACAATAATAATTGTTTTATTATTATCCATATTGGATAGATCAACGTTCATGCAATGCTTATGAAATATATAACACTCGATCAAGTCCACACTGACCGAATTGATAATATAAAATAATTTTAAAAGAAAAGGAAAAATAATAAATAAATAAAAACGAATGAATATCGTTAGTAATTTGTTTCTTTTTTCCATTAATTATTAATTTCTAATTTATTCAATATAATAGAATAATAATTATTTTAATACGCCTTTCAACTATTTCGCAAAAGTCTTTTACTATTGCACATTCATTGGTACAGAGATAGAGTTTAAAATGTTATTACAGTGATGAAAGATCCGATAGATTTTCGAAATATTTCAAATATATGCATATATCATGGCATTATCCGTAACATCAACAATTTCATGTAAAACAGGTCAACAATATGTCATCATGTGTCTTCGAGCTTATTCTATTCGATATTTTTACAATACAAATTGAATGCATTATGTAACCTATTCGGTAATTTACTCTTCCCGTTTAAAAAAAAAATAATAAACATATATATATATATATATATATATATATATATATATATATATATATAGATGTAATGTATATTATATCGTAAAAATGTTGAAATGTCTGAATAATGGATAAGAAATAATATAGGCGCTAATTTCAAATAAAAATAGTATACCAAAGCTGCGTAGAAAGCAGCTTTAAGCGAGTTTAAAGCTCGGCCCCACTAAAAACCAAAACAAAACAAAACGAAAAACACGAGAGAGAGAGAGAGAGAGAGAGAGAGAGAGAGAGAGCAAAGTTCATTTTTAAAAATACCTCGAGTCACTTGTTGCGTCATGAAGCTTCTCATCGCTCAAAGTCTCTTTATTTCTCCGTAGAGAAAAACGGGCATTTAAAGGGAAGTAAGCCGACGAACGAATGAAATATCGGCGAATTAACAATCTCCTCGATATTACTTTCCAGCTTACCTGTAGCCGCTCTCATACTTGTAGCACCGGACACCTTGCCAGCAGGGCTTGGCGAGGTCGCACTCATCCTCGCGCTGGCAGTTGAGCCCGTTCCCGTTGTATCCCGTGGGGCAGCCGCCGCAACGGAAGTACGGTGGCACGTTCGAGGTGACGCAGTTGACGTTGGGGAAGCAGGGGTTGGGCTGGCAGCCGTTGATGCGCTCGCAGTGTTGTCCATTGCCAGTGTAGCCCCGCGGACACGGGCCGCACCTAAAGATCATGCCCGTTCGCTTGTCAATCCCAACGCTCGGTGCTTCCCTAATTACGAGGCACTTACGTGTAGCCTGTCGCGGTGTCCATGCACTCGACGCCCTCGAAGCAGGGATTGTCGTGGCAATTCGGATACCTGCGGCAGTTTCGACCATCCCCGTAGTAACCGGATGGACATCGCAGACACTGGGGACCGCTGGCTGTGTCGCGGCACTCGGCACCCGGGAAGCACGGCGAGTTGTAGCGGCAACTGCGCGGAGGAGGCGGTGGAGCTGGAAAGCCGAGAAAACGGACGTTGGTCTATTGTTTTGTACTGATTGGCCTTGGATTATTTAGTGAAAGACCGAAAGGAGTTTCGCATTCGCGAATGAATTAGCGATTATTTGAATTTTATGGTGCGTCTCTACTGTGCTGCTTGGATATTACTATCGTTGGACGTTTTTGTTGCGATTACCGTGTACGAGGCATGAAAATGCATTTTCATATAATAAGGATTGGGAATCTCTATGGCACTTGATTTAAACTTAATTGATTTAAAGTCAATTTACCGCTGCTTAATAATAAAAATTCTATTCCTGCATGCGAATTTAAGAATCGCGAATGCTTTTAACCGGCACAGGCTATTTAAGACGCATATCCAACGAATGTGATAAGAAAGGGGAGGTTGTTTTTAATGAATTTATATTACATCATAACAAATGAATATTGCAGATCAAACCGATGATAAAATTTTGCGTAACTAATGTCGAGATAACTTACGCGTGGGCTTCTCTTGACATGCAGCGCAGTTTTCTAACAATTCTCGAACCCGCTTAGTCTCGACGATCTATGAACATTCAAAAATTTGGTCGATTAATGGTTGTTTTGACAGATTAATTATTTTAAGTAAATTAATCGCAATGTATAAATAAAGCAACGTGTACTTACACTCAAATCAAGTTTCGTCCACATCTTTTTGATAGCATCAATGAGCAAATTTAAGGTCTTTGCCATGGTCTCGTCGGTATAGCATCCTAAATTTGGTATGTAAGAAAGGACGACCAAGAGGAAAGAAAGAGAGAGAGAGAGAGAGAGAGAGAGAGAGAGAGAGAAATACGAAAGAAGGTAAATAAATCATGAGACACGTTCGATAAAAGTGGCATATTGATTTTTTGTACAAATATCAAAGCGCGCATACCATTAGGGTCAACTAGAGTCGGAAACTCCCCGGGAATATCACCCCTCCTTCGTACCCTCATCATATCTTCGTGGCTACTGTTATTGAGATGATTATGGATTCGATCAACGTCGTATAGTGTAAGACCAGCGCAATTGTCTTGTCGAAGGGCCTCATCGATGTCCGCCTTTCCATAAATTTTTGTTCTATAACGTCGCTCACGAAACTAAAACCAAGAAGACATTTCGTTTAATCTTCTACAATCTCAATTCGTCATTGTAAAATGAACGTTTCTTTTTGAAAAGATGAATTTTGGAAATTGCCAGTTTCGACTCGAGTTGCTTTTTTTTATGATATTGACCATATTATGACAATGATTTATGATAATTCATCGATCGTATGTACTATTTTTACTGATACAAGGATAAGATTAAAAAATTTATTGAAAACGTATTTTATTTCTTATGATATATGAATTATTTTGATAGTCCTAAAATAAAAATCAAAATTAAATTTATTTATGACACTTTTATTCATAAGAGTAAAATTGAACAAATAATTAGCCATTGTCTCCAAGGCATATTAATGTCTTGTAAAAGTGGCTTTAAACAAATTACCCAAATTTGTAATTTAACTGTCTAATCTTCATTTACAGAGTACGTCTTTCACGTTGAAGCACATATCATATAAATGGGTAAAAGGTTTCTGAAATTAGTTGAATTCATTAATTGTTTCATTAACATTTATACACACACACACACACACACACACACACACACATACACACACACACATATATATATATATGTGTGTGTGTGTGTGTGTGTGTGTGTGTGTGTGTGTGTGTTTGGTATAACATATCTATTTGACAGTAAGTGAAATATTTATATAAAAGGAACAGTAAAATATTATTAGAACTTTAAAATGAATCGCAGTAATTAAAAATTAAATTATTATTGAAAAATGAATTTAAAAATAGAATAGCCAATTTAAAGTATATCCGTAATATTCGCTATTGGATAATAAATATAATAATAAGTAAATTTTGGGTAGAATTCAATGCTAAATATTAATATTAGAATCATACAGAAGTAATTAATAAATCAAATAATATTGAATTATTTCTTATCTAAAATTGTTTAAAAACATAATAATACTCATTGTACGATGTTTCCTAATAAAAAGAGAAATATTAACTACTTTCGAACAATACATTCTAATTGTTTAAATTATTTATTGAGTACGATACGATAAGCCTGTCAACAAAGAAATCAGATCATCTTACGTAAAAAGAATCACCTACTAAAAAGTATCAGTATGGTACAAGCAAACCGAAACATTTCCGTATAATCTCATGAATAAATCCTCAAAGCGATAAAAATTATTTTAGAAGCAGAGAAAACGCTTCAGCAAAATCCCACTCTTAAGGTCTATAGATACGCGTATAAGACGCATGAGATGTCGACTGAATAAAAATAACTACGGAACATCTTTATACATAAATAAATCCAGAGTTTTCCCGAAAACAAAATCTAGACTATATAGGTTATAAAAACAAGCAAACGTAGAGTGTTTTAATTAAATATACGAACTGGAAAAATACGTTGTACATCCAATTGAGTTCATATAATGAAGGATGATATTTCTTTACTAATAAATAAACATATTTATAAATATCTTAAGAACTATTATGATTAATTTTTATTATTAAAATTCTTTTTATATCATTTGAAACATTATCAGTATAATACTTTCAATGAATAAATAAACAACAAAATTTTATATATATATATATATATATATATATATATATATATATATAGAAAGCTTTTAAAGTGAGAAATTCTAAATATATATCAAGCTTATGATTTTTTTTAAATATTAAAATTATATGACCCAATTATATCCATCAATTTACATTTCCTTCAATGACAAGAAAAACATTGCCATAAAGTAAAAACTGCGCTTTGTTTTTGAAAGTGAGATGGAATTTTAATTAAACTTTGTGTTTGTAAAATAAAGATGAAGGAGAACGAAGCAAAGAAATTAAATATTTATAACATATTTCTCTACTTATTACATAATATTTAATTAATACATTTAATAATATAATATAATAATTTTCATTGAAAGAGATATAAAATTTATCTAGAGAAAAGTAAATTTCGGTCTTTAATGTATTTAATATCAATATATCTAATATATTAGATCATTTCTGTTTTGTAAAATAAAATTTCTGCTTACTTATTCATTTAGAAATATTAATATTACTGAGAAAAAAAGAAAAAAAAAACATTTCCGTTCACATATCACACGTGACGGTGATATTTATTGTTATAAATTTAACCTACATTTATTAATTAAATATGTAAATTAAATTTGCTTATTAAATCCTGCTATAATTTATAATTAAAATTAAAATGATAATATTTTGGTAAGATATCGGTAAACATTTTAATATCAGTACTTTAGTAAACACTTAGAATCTTAAATTTTTATATTTTTTAGTGGGATAAAGAATAAAAATATCTATATTTTCGTTCAATTATATAGAGACTATAAATAAAGATTAGTGATTTTTTAAATTATTTTGTCTCTATAAGAAAATACAATATTCGATCTTTCTGTCATCAAAAAAAAAAATATATATATATGTGTGTGTGTGTGTAAAATTTTACATAATTAAAGACAATTGCATATTAATGAATGTTGCATTGACTATGTATTTTATTTGTACGTGAAAATGGGTCACAGACATGGATATTATTAATAATATACTTTTAATTAAATAACGTTAAAATAGAATTTAAAGCTCGGCAATTGTATGAATTCAAATTTAAAAAGCAGAATCAATTTCATCAGGACACAATATCGTAGGATATAAATTCTGATTTAAAGAAAAATTGGAAAGATGTTATGCATTATAAAAAAAAAAAAAAAAAAAAAGATATTTGTGCTCATTATTTGAAATTGTGTTTAAATGAAAATAATGTCATTTTAATGTGTAGGAATTTTAAATAGAATAAACGGCATTTTGTGTATAGCATTCGTATATTAAAAACAAGTTATTTGAAATAAGATTTAAAATTACGAAAATAAGCATAAAAAAATTGAATTGCGATGTTAGATTTGCATTTGAAGTCATTTTATTTATTATTATATACACATTTAGCTGTATTCTTAATTTTATAAATATGACTTTCAACGCTTGGAAATTGAATTATTAGAATTAGATAAAACAAGTTTATTATTTATAACTTTCAATGTTCGCTTCTAGTGGCAGTGAAAATAATAACTTATTAAAAATGGTAAAACATGATTTTTCATTCAGTGCTCGGAAGTCCAAGTCCCACGTTAAATTTAATTGGTATTTTTCACGTTGATGAAATACGCGAGGAAGAGAATATATATATGCTGTTTTAATAATATTAATAAATAAATAAATAAATAAATAAAAATAAATAAAAGAAAGTCTACATCGATCATGCATATTGAAGTAATTAAAAGGGTAAAGTGATGGTGATGAATTGTTTAAAAACTATATTAAAAATTCAATAAGCGAAATGGGAAATTTTCGATTTGATTAATAATCTATGAAAATCTGAGCAACGTCGCAAGTGTTACGTTCAAAAAAAAAAAAAAACATACATTTAAAAAACGACGAGCAATTTTTACGTTGAAAATTAAAATTAAAAGCAATACGGTGCTCTATATCCTCCTCCCTTCCCCCTCAAACCCCCCCCCCCCCCGCCCCGCCCACTGTACTTTTGTGGCGCTCTGTCGCGTACACAGGTACGAGTATGTAAATAAACGGAGGAGCGCGTGCATTGTGGAATCGAGAGCGCTCACCCAATAAATGTGCGCATTAAGTAAACGTAAGAGCGAGGCGGCTAAAGCCATAGCGGAGGAAGTATGGAGCGCGCGGAGGAAGCGGAAAGTCGAGGAGCCGAGAGCGAGAGAGAAGGAGAGCGAGTGCAACCATAACAGTGCGCCACGGGTTAGGCAAGTGCATAGGAGAGCGCGCCAAATATGGCGAGACCTCGGCCCACGGAGCCGAAGCCACTCCAGATGTCTATCGCCGTTGCCGAGAACACGGGATAATGGACCGCCGGCAATAATGAGACGCGATGGCGAAACCAGGTGGCGCGCGAGTGCGAGCGAGCGATAAGGCGAGAGCGCGAGCTGCTTGCCCTTAACGAGCCAAGCGGCGAGCAAGTGTCGGCCGATTTCGACCTCGCGACTCCGGCTTTCTCGGGGCCGCGCCTTCCCATCCATCGCTACTACGATCCCGAGACATCTCGTCGACCTTCGCCAAAACTACTTGGGGGTGACTGCCGAAATTTTCGCGCCCCGCCGATTCGCCGCGTACCGATGCGTTTCCTTGCTCCTTGGAACCACCAAACAACGACCAAGTCACTCGATTCCAAGATATTTTCTTTTTTTTCAACCAACAACAAATGAAACTTACGGTCAATTAACTACGCTCGTTCTTTTTTTTTTTTTTTTATCATAAAATCCGTTCGTGGTGTTTGTAACGGGCGATGAGAATTAACTATCGAGTGTCGATAATAATTCCTGCACTTATGGATGAGCCTATGCGATAATTTATTATGAAATCAGCGAATGAATGATTACGATGCGGCGAATAGTAGGGCAAATAGGGCGATTATAATGGACGTTGGGCAATTGTATTATGGTTAGTCTCGATTCTTACCACTTGGACGTCAAAGTCGTCGCTTTGCGAAGCCATTTGTTTGAAGGTCCTTTTCAATGCGATTTCACCCTGGTGAATGCAATCGACGATGATCTCCATCTTAGCGCCTGGCACCTTTTGATTGACAATTACGATGATATTCTTGAATGGCTCGGCGATACTCAGACTGTCGGCTGTGATGTGCTCGCGACGTGGTTTTTTATTCTCGACCGTCTCTAAGATCACTGCAATGCCCGTGAAATATTTTACTAACGCGCCCGCTTCTCTCGTAAATTATCAAAAAATTCGATAATACATTTTTCACAGCATCGCAATCAATTGCGATAGCTGAGAAATGTTAATAAAACTCTTCAATTGACATTTAAATGCTCGCCGAATTCATAATTTAAATGACTATTGACGATTGAAAAGAAATGCAAGAAACAAAAAAGAAAACAATAATAAACGAAGGCTTTAATAATCATTGATACTTATACAAGATTCTCGCACTTTCGTACAAAACTTCCTTCAGTAAGCGAAGGATGCGATGTTCTTAAAAACATCATTACTTATACAACTTTATCGCGGTTGTATTTTTTTATTTTTATTTTTGTTCTTTTTTTCTCCTATCGTTCGATGCACTTGCGCGTATGTATGTAGACGTACCTCGTTTGGCTCGTCTGTCAATCATGAGGACAAACTTCGATTTCGAATTAAAGTATTCGGCCGCAAAAAATGTTTCAATGTTATGTAATGGTTTTTTCCTGGACTTCACGTGGCTCACCGAAACGGCAAACTGATCATCCTTCAAGATCTCCTCGAAGCTCTTAGTCAAATCTTTGAACAATTACATAAACTTATTAAATATCATTATTGTCGTTATTGGCGTTATGATTATTATCGTTATATTGTTATATGCGCATGTCGTGTCCGTGACTACTTAAAATCAATCAAATGACATTAAAATGCGCGAAAGCAATGGAAAAACATTATATTATTTAAAACAAGTATTTACATCATTAGTTACGAGATACTTATAATCCTAATGGATATAATTGCATTATAAAATCATAGTACGAGTCCTAGCAAAATATCTAACGGATAGTACGAGAAGTAGTACCACTCGAGCTCAGTCAGACATAGTTATGAAATATTTTTCAAAATTAACTTTTAATGAATTTGATCAATAACCCTTTCGATAAATGGCAAGAGACTCTAGATAAATATGAAAGTGTAGGTATTGATTTGTAGAAATTGAATGTGAACGCGCTAGGCAGCAATTTAGATCAATTGGCAGTGGATACTTCAACGCTCCTCAAATCGATCAATTACTTTATCATCTCTCGTGCAATAACAACTTCTTCCCTATTAATAATCGAAATTATGTTTTCACATTTAGATTAATACGTGTCAGCAAATTATTATGTTTTGTTACAGAAAGAAAAAATATCCTAGTCATTAGAACTAGAATAACTGAACTTAACCATTTGGAATGACGAATATAAATAATATTCGTTAAATTATGTTTTAAAAGGTTGTGTGAATAATCACCATATGAATTATTACGATGGAAAAATATTTGATTGTTTAGTATTGCAATTTTTTTTTTTAATAATACTTATATTTTAATATTACTTATAATTTTAATAAACTAAACACGTAAAAATAAATTAATGTATTTGATAAGATATAAAGATTAATTTACTTTATTATATACTCTTTTATATTAATTTCATTTAATATCATCGAACATTACAAGTTTCTCTAACTTCGTCATAATCTATCGAGAGAAAAAATATTATTAGATAAGAAATATTGCTGCTCGTCTTCTTGTATTGGTCTATAATTTTTTCTTTTTAACTTAAGAATGTTAATGTATAGTCTGCAAATGTGTTTACAAGACTTTTTACTTGGACAAGTGACAAATTATCAAATCATCTCTCATATTGCCTAACAAATGCTTCGTAAGAATATTTATAAAAAACAATAACCCGTAGGACATTCGCGTTTAATTAATATTTTTATATTTAATTATTGGAAATTTTTTGTAAATGTAGATCTTTACAGTTTACTATTAATAAAGTATTGTAAAACTGGTTTAGAGAAAATTTCCAACAAGTATCATCGCACTGTAATAACAAATATATTATTAATTTGATTAGGACGAGAAAGGAGTAAAAGTTAATTCGCAAACAAATGAGAAAGAAAATTATAAGTATAAAGTGTAAATTATATTTGTCTGTTTGCGCGTACAGCGATAAATTATGAATCGTCCTATTGATCCTTTGAAATCGTATGCTCATCGACGAAGATCGGCATTGCACGAGTGTCGATCGAGTTTACTGACCCGGCGTCTTTTCCTCGTCACTACCGGGTTTTTCTTTGACGAGGCCACCGGACGGGTTTCCAAGTCGTAAGCCATCATAGGATTGGCAGGATTGGCAAGAAAGAGAGAACGTTTTACTCCGACAGGAGTTTTATCGAATAACCTTTCAATGAAATTGACCAAACGATAAGTCACAAAATATCGATTATTTAATATTCCTATCGTTGGCTCGATAGCCGACCGATTTCCAATCCCTTCTACATTATTTTCTCATTATTCAATGATGCAAATATATAGTTTGAATGTCTCATGTTTTTTGTCGAGATTTACACTTTGGTCATTTATATTTTAGATGCTATCGGCATTTTCTAAATGAAAGTTTTTATTACAATTTACAACTCGTTTTCACCATCTGTAACGTAACAGAATACGATAGACTTTCGACATTTGGCAATAAAACTTGTTTTAATTGCGGACTCAAAAAACAAAATTAATTATTAATCGGTATAATACTATTTTTTGTTGTTCCTTTTATTGCTATTGTTCTTATTATCATTATTTATAATATAACTAACGTGAAGAGTAATAATTTAATTTAATTCCACTGTTAAAACGATGGGAATTCTCGTTGTTTTAACAGTTACGGCTAGTTAAATAAATGATTTGCATTTTCCATTCATATTGAGCAATATTAGGCAAAGCAACTCTTTTTATTAATATGAAGTGTAGACGTAATAATTGCGCAGTACCGGCATAGTGAAAAATAAACTTAAACGAACGGCGGCTAGGCGTGAAAATTCGTGAAAATCAATCATTCTTGTAAAGAGATTAAATGAAAAATTGTAGCTTGAGCAGTCGGCAATAATGAGCGTTATAAATGACGATCTATTTATGCGTAGCCTCTTTCCGTCACGCCCCCCCCCCCCCACCCCA